CGGGGGTGGGGGGGGTGGGGGGGCTTCCAGTTCCTCTTGGTCGGGGGTCTTGTTTCCAAGGGGGACGCATTGAGGGATAATATATAATCTCCGTGCATTTATATAGAGAGCAGCTGATGATCTACAAGAGATGATACTGAACTACAGGATTCCCACTCCGTCCTAGTCATCCTTATTTTGCATCTTTTTAATCAGCTATATATTTGAAAAGAGAGAGCAAATATCTATATATCTATATCTATAGCTATAGCCACCTGATTTTGTTATAATTTTACTAAATCTATATATCTCTAGACTTGTTGAGATGCTGGCGAGGTGGTGCCTGCACCGCTTCCCTGGGGCGCTCGTGGCTCACGGGAGTTTTTAGTGACTGACTGAATGAATGTTAAAAGTCTTTTTAAAAACCAACAGCTCCTTCCTGACACTCTGGATTTTAACGATTTAGAAACCCCAGAACCGCGCTCGGCCTTTGGGACGCGCCGAGTCTTCCGAGGGCAGCGGAGCTTCCAGCCCGGCGCGGGCGCCCGCGGCGCCCACCCGAGGGGATGGCTCGGTGTGCCCCAAAGCTGAGCCCCCCTGAAGGCATTAACTCTTCTGGTGCTAGAGGGAAGGACCAGGAGGTTCCTTCTGACCCTCACACATCTCCGAAGCGCCGCAGCCGGCCGCCGGTGAAAGGCGGCGGCGGCGGCGGCCCCAGCGCGGCAGCGCGGCCCGGCTCCTGCCCCTGCCGCCTTTCCCTGCGCTCTGGCCGGGCACAGAGAGGCCGAGGCGCCCGGTGCCCCGACAGCTCCCCCGGAGCTCTCCGAACCCGCCGCCCTTCCTGCCCTCCCCGCGGCGCCGCCGGCTCCGGCCGGCGTGGTGGCCTGGGGAAGGGAAGAGGGGGGTTCAACCTTCTTAATCTGCAAGCAAAAATCCTGCTGTGGATACCTTAGGGTGCTCCCGGCCTCACGTCCAATAACCTGGTGAGCCGAGGGGCATCCTAGCTGTGATAGCAGCCACTGCATCTGCCAAACGGCTCCTGGCCCGCCGGGCTGGCCGTCCCTCGCCGCCGCAGCCTCCTCCGCTCCGCTCCGCTCCGCTCCGCTCCTGTCCGCGCCAGCCGCCGCCTGTGTCATTGCCAGCCCGACACCCCGGTCACCCCGTCACCACGCGCCCCAGCTCCATCCGCGCCCGCCGCTGCTGCCCATCCCAGCCACCCTTCGTGCCGCAGCCTGGCCCACACATCTGTCCCCGGGGCTTCCACACGCTGCCTCCCAAAGCCAGCAGCATCCGCCGGCGCCTGCCGGCCCGTTCCCGCTGCCCGCACGCCGCTTCCCCTCCTCCTGCACCGCCCGGGGTCCAGCTGCTCTGCCTGCGCAGCGGCACTTGGTCAGCCCTGGCTGCAAAGCTCGCTGGCCAAGCGCAGGGCAGGGATAGTGGGGGACAGCAGGGACACCTCCTGTGTGGCTGTGGGCACGGCGAGGATGCGCCTGTGCATGCTGCTGCGCTGCAGCCCCACTGCTCTGCATCCCCACTGTTCTGCAGCTGCACTGCTCCGCATCCCCATCACTCTGCATCCCCATTGTTCTGCATCCCCACTGCTCCGCATCCCCATCACTCTGCATCCCCATTG